TATATATACTATATATACTATATATACAGATACATATATATACTACTATATATATATATATCTTTATATATATATATATATATCTTTATCAGTTCTACAATAGCATTTGCCAATAACTTTCAGTATGAAAGATTTGCTAATGAAGAGAATGGAAGGGAAACATTGGTTGAGGTTAGGTTAGGTTAAAACGATTAAAAAGAATAATACAATAGCATAGAATAATAAAAGATAAATAAACAAAAGAAATAATAAGAATGATAGATAAAAAAAAATAGTAAATAAAAAGTAGTAAGTAAAAAGAATAATAAATAAAGAAAAAAGAAGCTTCACACGTGATTTTTATTGTATAGAGCCCAACACGATTTGGGAGCTGTTGAAATGATAAAAAAAAGGGGGAGAGGAAGAAGAAAGATACGAAGTCGCATAATTCGATAACTAATGGTTCGTTTAAAAATTTCTCTCCCAACAGTTGGATAGATAACTTGAGACTTTTCTCCAATAGAACACGCCGCGAGGGAAAGATTCGATCTTGAAATTCAAGTCATGTTCAAGCTCAGTCTTCTTCGACAAATGTTCAGATATGTAGAATCACGCGATTCACATTCATGTTGTACGTGGACTTCTTTTCTGGGTCGAGAGTCCCGCGAACGAAGGATACTAGTGTGTGTAGTAAACCGTGACGGCTGACGAAGAGTGTTCAGAAGAAACCGCGAGTCGTCGTTACTAATTGTGAGAAACATGTACAGGGTGAGCCTATAATAAATGCAACTGTCTTCATAACTGTTCGTTGTTCGAGGAGTCAATCGAATTTAATAAATTGCAGTTCATAATTTTCTCCTCTCATCAACTTCAGCCTGTTGCAAGAACGTATATAAATAACACACAAACTAAAGCAATAAGTTTTTATACTGTGTTTTTATCTTGCAGTTCCACAATTTAATCCAAATCTTTATGTACATGTAGATTTCGACCAACTTGATCTTAAATGTAGAATAAATAT